CGGGACAGGGGCGCGCGGGAACCGCTCCGGGCCGGGGCTCGGCCGGGCGCTCGGTGGCCCCGGACCCGCACCGGCGCCAGGCCGCGGTCATTACCTGGCCAGTGTGGTTTTCCCCGAGCCCGGGAGGCCTCGCAGGAGGTAGAGGTGTTTCCTAAAGCTGTGGCGGCGCGGAGCGGTCCCCCGCGCGGGCGGCGGCCGAAGCGGCGGTTGCTGCTGCCGCTGTTGGAGGCTCAGCCTCCCAAAGGATTCCAGAAAACTGTCCTCCATGGGGAGGGGGCTGGCTGAGAGCGCCCTGGGTTCCCTTCCTGAAGTCACGGTCTTGGCCAAAGCTGTTGTTTTTGTGACTCTCCGGCCATGTGATAGATGGAGGGGCGGGCGCTCGGAGCCCAGCCCCTCCTTCCCAGCCGCCTGAACCGCGCTGCGTGGGAGGGGGCGCCCCTACCTGCTGGGCCCGCCGGGAGACTGACAGCCCGGGAAGCAGGGGTGACGCACCCCCAGCTCTTCCTCCTGCCTCCCACTGCCTTTTCCTGTCCTCGTGGAGGGAAGGGGGGCCGGCCAGGGGACACTGGGACATTTCCCTGAAGCCACCAGGGAGACGAGCCCTCTGCTACAGCTCTCCTTCGCCCCCTCAGACTGGCCTAGACCTTGAAAGTGAAGTACTTTTATTTAGGGACTAAAGAATGTGAACAGCATTTTGAATAGTAACAGTAAAGGCCACTGTCTCCCCCAGTTGGTGTGCACCAACATCTGGCTGGTGTCCCAAGGCCTAGCACACACTCTTCCATGGGCTGTATCTTTTCTTTTCATCCTTATCAGCCTGCCAAAAATATTCTTAGAAACTTTTGTGGCTACTACATAACTTTAAATCTCATCCTCTTTAGTCCCCAGGTGGACTTAGGAGGCTTCTCTCAGGTACTTTTCTGCTGCCATGTAACAGGGGCAACGTCCCAAGACTGAGAATCAAGTTCTAGGTGGAGGAACTGGCGGGCACCCATTGGTAGATATCCTCAGTGATTCTCCAGAATTTCAGACTAGGAACAATAATAAGATGAACCTGGTTTTGGAATTAAACAATGTTCAAAACTTCCATCCTAGGAAACCAGAGACATTAGTGGCTTTGGCAATTACCAAAAAATAAATTTTGTTTTGGCACATAAGGTATGAACAGTATGAAAAGGAATTGTGGGGAAAGAAGGTATTTTCTTCTAAGTATAACTCCAGAGATTTCACTATGCGTTTTAGGAAGGGGCTGTCCAAGTAGAGAGGTACTCTGAGAATTTCACTTTAACCAAGGCTTCCCCTGGGTTGGGGTGTGGGAGTGACATGAGCTGCTCTCCCTTGGCAATTCCCTCCAACATGAAGCATACTTTTTCTTTTTTTTTTCTTTTTGTCTTTTTGAAGCAGGGTCTTCCTGTAGCCCCAGCTGTCCTGGAACTCACTATGTAGACCAGGCTGGCCTTGAAGTCACAGAGATCTACCTGCCTCTGCCTCCCAAGTGCTGGGACTACAGGCATGTGCCACCACGCCCGGCTGAAGCATACTTTTAAAAATCTTCTTAGTACTGCTAAGGAACAATGGAATTGCAACGGCTTCTGTGCATATTAAGGGGAAAGCACAAGGGACAGAAAGTATACATTAGTTATCACAGTAGTGACACAGAATCTATGTGTCCCTGTTACATTTCATATGTGCAGAGAGGCAGTGAACCTAGGGCCTCCTCCAGCACACTTAGCATGAGCTTACCCACTGAGCAATACCCTAGCTCAGTGTGTTTTTGTTCAGTCTCAAATACTATCTTTTTTCATTTTAGGTCTCCAGAAAGGAGCTACTTATCACACATGGCCACGGAGCATTTGGAAAGTGGATAATACAAATTGAGACTAAAATATACATTAAGGGTTGGGGAGAAGGCTCAGTAAGAGTGCTTACTGTGCAAGCATGAGTACCTGAGTTCAAATTCGTAGCACCCATGTAAAAAGCAGGGTATAGCTGCACATGCCTGTCTGTAATCCCAGGGTTGAGGGATGGAGACAAATGGATCTCTAGAACTCACTACCAACTAACCTAGCAGAAACTGGAGCCTCTGGTTCTGTGAGCCACCTTGTCTTAAAAGTATGTCCGCAAGCACAAGGAAGACACTTAATATCCTCCTCTGGCCTCTACATGCATGCAACACACACACACACAACACACACACACACACACACACACAATAAATAAATAAATAAATAAATAAATAAATAAATAAATAAAATACACACTGGGAGCTGGAAAGATGGCTCAATGATTAAAAGTGCTTATGTTCTCCCAAAGAACCCAAGTGTAGTTCCCAGCACTCATGTAAGGCAGCTGTCAGTAACTCCAGCTCCAAGGTATTCAAAGACCTTTTGGCCTCTGCAGGTCTGAACACACATGGCAGGCACACATTCAGACAATATTTTTAATCTTTAAAAATATACACTGAGTAGAATGTGGCCCTCAGTACTCAAGAAGCAGAGGCAGGTAGATCTCTGTGAGATTGAGGCCAGCCTGGTCTACAATAGTGAATTCCAGGTAAGTTGGGGCTACAGAGAGACCCTGTTGCAAAAAAAAAAAAAAAAAAAAATAGGTGAAGTCTCCTGGCATTTGGAAATTACTTGGGAACTTGGGAGAGTGAGTTAGGAAGATCTCTTAAGCACAGGAGTTCACAGAAGTTCAGGGCTATCTCAGGTAACACAGAGAGATCTGTTTCAAAAGAAAATAAAAGAAGGGAAAATCATAAACCATTTTGGGAAAAATGACAAACATTTCTCTAAATATTACTGTTTAATAAGATGTGGAGAACAGGAAGTATAGTGCAAACAACAACAACAACAAAAAAAACCAGTGAATAAATCTGTCAATGGTGCAAACGGAGTGCCTTACACTAGTGCATGCTAGGCAAGCACTCTACAACTAAGCAATACCCCTAGCACCATATTTCACTCTTTATGCTGTCAGACACTTCCTCAAAGGTGTAAGGACTATATCTTCCATCTCAGTAGCACCTGATGTTTGCCACAGGCACAAGGATACTTGCTATAATTATATGAGCTTAAGAAGAGAGAGTAGTCTATCTAGAAATTAGGGGAAGGTAATAAAGGTGGGGTTCATGAATAGAAAGTTGCAGCATTCTGGAATTCAGTACAGGCCTGGGTGGCTAGTGAGCTGGTAAGCATTAGCAAACCAGAAGGATGATCCAGATTGGTGGCATAAATGGTTTGCTGCTTAAGGCACCAAAGAAAGAACTTTCCAGATGCCACTCTCCTCCCTGGCTATCTATCTTTTCCTCCCTCTAACTTAGCCTCCTTCCTGGTTCTTCCTTCATCCCTCTTCTAGATGCTTGAGGGAGGCTATAGGAGACAGAAAGAACTTAGAGTTCTGCAGGGCCAGTAGCCTGTACATGTAATCCTAGCTACTTGGGAGGCTGACACTTTTAAGCATGAATGTTCAAGGCCACCCTGGGGAACTTAATGAGATCCTATCTTGAGAGAGAGAGAGAGAGAGAGAGAGAGAGAGAGAGAGAGAGAGAGAGAGAGAGAGAGAGAGAGAGAACCACAATATGTCAGTACCTTAATGTGGGTCAGATCTGCACTGACATAGTCCTGCCCTGGGCCAGAGAGGAGTTTTACCTAAGACTTGCAGAATACAAGCAAACTCTGCAGACCCCAGCTCTGCCCAGAACAGATATTCAGTCCTAACAACGTACACTAAAACCTGTATAAAATGAACAAAAAGGAAACACTAAGCAGTAAATTTCTAGTAAACATGCCTAGTTGCATGCAAAGTTTTAATTTCTACTCTTTTCTTGAAACCCACTAAAATGTAAAGGAAGTTACTTTGGAGGATTTCTTTGGAGGCCCTATTTTGTTATTACTATCATTTAAGTATAAACTGGGAGAGAAGTGGGGAGAAGGACAGAGGATCACAGCAATAGAATTCTGGAAACTAGAGAGTAAAATATCAAATCTTGCCGAGTGTGGTGGCACATGACTTTAATCCCAGCACTTGGGAGGCAGAGGCAGGCAGATCTCTGTGAGTGCAAGGCCAGCCTAGTCTACATAGTGAGTTCCAGGACAGCTGGGGGTATAGACAGACCCTGTCTCAAAAAGTCAGACAAAAAAAAATCAAATCTTGATTGATTTGGTTAAAAATACCCTTAAATTACAGAAAGTCAAAGAACATTATTCATCTAACATAACCCATAAATTACAGGAACTGGAAGATCTAGAGCTGGTGGCAGGGCTGTAGACCAGAAGGAGAGTCCAAAGTCCACTTAAGAAACAGAGCTGAGGGCTGGAGAGTTGGCTTAGTGGTTAAGAGCACTGACTGCTCTTGCAGAGAACCCAGGTTCGATTCCCAGCACCCACATGGCAGCTACAAACTGTCCTTAAGTCCAGTTCCAGGGGAATCCGAAGCCCTCTTCTGACCTCTGTGGCATTGCACGACACAGGTGCACTCACCTACATGCAGGCAATACACTCATACACACAAAATAAAAATAATAATAAAAAAAAACAGAGCTGAACTAACTTTGAAAACCTAAAAGATATGGACAGGTATCTAAAAGCATGGGAACCACTAAAACTAAACAAAGAGATCAATAGCTTAAATAAACCCATAACACATAAGGAAATTGAAACAGTAATAGAAAACCACCTGACTAAAAAAAGCCCAGGACCAGATGGATTTACAGCAGAATTCTACCAGACATTTAAAGAAGACCTCCAACCAATACTACTTAAATTATTCAAAATGATAGAAACAGAGGGAGAACTCCCAAATTCCTTCTATGAAGCCAGCATCACTACCAAAGCCAGGTAAAGATACAACCAAAAAAGAAAACTATAGACCCATATCCTTAATGAACATAGATGCAATACTTGCAAACTGCATACAGATAAACTGTATGCAGACACATCAGAAAGATCATTCACCATGATAAAGTAGGCTTTATCCCAGAGATGCAGGGATGGTTCAATATATACAAGTCAATAAGACAAGAACCACATGGTCATCTCAATAGATGCAGAGAAGGCCTTTGACAAAATTCAACATGCATTTATGATCAAAGTCCTAGAGGGAACTGGACTGGAGGGAACATATATCAACATAATTAAAGCCACATATAACAAACCCACAGCCAACATCATTCTAAATAGAGAACAACTGGAAGCATTCCCATTGAAATCAGGAACCAGACAAGGCTGTCCACTATCTCCACTTGGTTGTTTTTTTTTTTTTTTTAAATCTTTTAGAGACAGGGTCTCCCTGTAGCCCCAGCTGTCCTGGAACTCACTATGTAGACCAGGCTGGTCTCGAATTCACAGAGATCCGCCTGCTTCTGCCTCCCAAGTGCTGGGACTACAGGCGTGCAACACCACGCCTGGCTTCTCCACTCCTTTTTAACATAGTGCTTGTAACTCTTGCAAGAGCAATAAGACAAGAGAAGGAAATTAAAGGAGCAATAATTGGAAGAGATCAAACTATCCCTTTTTGCAGAGGATATATTATATCTAAGATAGGCC